TGGTAAAATTGTGAACAGCAAGCTTTGTTTTGTAATACAAGGCAGAGGCTTTTAGCTTTGGGCACAAAAGGAGGGCTTGTAAGTCCATACATAAGACCATAGTGTTGTTGCTGGCCTTGCTTTTGTCGGACAACTTTTCGGCGCGGGCCTCTTCTTTTTGAAGGAGATGGTGCTGCCACTCGTCATCAGGTAAGTTGCCGGTCTTGAAAGCACAACAGATGTTGCACTGGTCCTTTTTTGGGTGGTAAAGGCCTAGGTTGAGACGCTTGAACTCATTTGTGAACACTTGCCTTGACAAAGGTGTTACATTCTTCTCTGCAGCAGCACGACAATACACTGCATACAGATCAGCCATCGATTGAAACACAGGTTCCAGATACTGTTTGGATGTTGTGGATCTGCAATAGTGTGAGGGCACCTTTGGGAGGTCGTGCAAAAAACTGTAAATGAATTCATGGCCTGCCACTGAACGACGTGCATTGCTGTGTGTTTGTCCCTCTGTCTCTGCTTGCGTGTGTCCCTCCTTTGCCCAGTTAAGAGCAGACCACTCGCCTATTCCTAGGGTAGACAAAAACATACTTTTGCAGACGCGTCTTCTCTGCCCGCTGACCCGTAAAAAAAACAACAGCGAATTTGATCTTCGGGAATTTTCAGCCCCCCTTCTCCTTTGCACGGGGACCACATCAATTAGACCACGCACATACACTCTCTTCTCCTCCCAGGTCACATGTTGCCAAAAGTCATTGAAAATCGTATTCCTCTCAGGCTCGCCGATTGCACTGCAGTGATGTTTACCTGACCTGGCACATGCTGCTGATGAACATCTAGGCCCCATAGCCCGTGGCTCCCTCATTGTTTCCTTCTGCTTCTGTTTTCCAATGTATGACTTTCCAACCATTCTTCTTTTCTTGTTGATGACTTTCTTCCAGGTGTTCTCAGCTCTCAGTCTTTTCCTTGGAGGTGCGTCTTCCTCAGCATCTGAGCATGAATGCTCTGCATCCGAGTCCTCATCGCCTCCACCATGGAAAACTTCAAAATACACACACAAACCAAACGTGCATGAATGAGTTACATCTTTATAAACTGTCAACAGTGAGGGCTATAGTTGAAGGACCTTATCCAATTTAATGAGAAAATGTAGAAAAGCATCAAACTTACCCGTGTCAAACTGCACCTGCTCTGGAGCCAGCAGTGAGGCCTCCTCTTCCTCCAGACCACCAGAGAAATCTTTTCAAACACATCATACAAATAGTGTGATTTTTTTATTATTTCTATTGTTGTGAAATACATCTGCATTAAAACTCATTCATTTTGGCATGTGAAATCATGATTATCTCTCAGAAATTCACTCTACCAGCATGCACCACTGTATCCTCCACCACTGTATCCTCCACCACTGTTGCTTCCTCTCTCTCTAACGTTACACTCTCTCCATCAGAGCTCTCACTGTCTAATAGGGCCCTTGCCTGATCATATGGCACATTGACCATCTGACAGAGTTCCTTTAAGGACACAGACATGGTTGCTGCAAAAAATAAAATAAATAAAGGTCAAATGATCGTTTCACTAAGTTATACGACATGTTTACGTATGATAACAAGGCAAGAAGCCAGCTAGCTTGCTTAAAGTGATGAACATGACGTAAAAGGTAGCTACTTGTTGAACATGACGGAATGCCTTGACATTGTAAGCTACAATACTGACATAGTACATTAAATTATTATGTTGTTCCTCAGATGAGTGCCAGAACTAGCGTTAGCGGGGGTCGAGAGGTTTTTATTTAAGCCCCACGAAAATCACGTTAGCTACCTATCTCACCTAACATGATGACAAAACCAATAACGTTACATAGCGGCTAACTAAGTCAACGACAGGCAATTTTTGCGGTTTAAATAAAATGTCCTCGTCAGAAACAAAACCATGGAAGATTTCAATCAACATGATAAGTTAACTTAGCTAACTTACCGTCCAATGCAAGACATAGCAGAAAGAAAAATCTAGCATCCTCAGAAATGATACATTACACTAAACTAGCACTACCATTACTTCGATCGAGATAAAACTGTTATATATAATATATAAACTGTTATTATTATATAATTTATATAACTAAATCATGAATAAGGACATTTACCTCAGAGGACGTGTTGCTCAACGAGGATTGCGACTTCCAATCTTGAGGAGAAAAAATGCCGCGAAGCTCCAGCGCGGCGGCGCCAAGTGAAGAAGGGGTGGAGTTACGAGGTTTCTCAGACAGTTGAAGTGTCCAATGGAGTTAAGAGGTTTGCTCACAAGCTATTTTCAACACTTTCGATTGGTTAATAATTTGTAAAAATAACAGACCCACGTGGAGACTGACCAATAGCATCGATTTGTGAAAAAATATTAAATTGACCAAATTTGGACATACGAGGTTTCCGCCCGACAGCGACGATATGCTAGCGCCATCTAACGGTCAACTTCTGTCAAAAAATATTAATTAATAAAAGTTAATTAAATACAATCGGAAAAATTTGGGAGGAATATAAGAGTAACAGATTGTTTTTGTCACTTACATTGTGGAGCTTTAATTCACTTGAAAAAAAAAAACCCTGAATGTGCATATCCATGCGCAACTACTGCGCGTATCCATGGACAACTACTGCGCGAGCCACAAAGTGTCGCGCGCATATGCACGTCACGTATTTAACGGTAACTTTTCGAATCGGCTTCTATCAGATACGGAGAAGGCTTCAGATATCTGCGTTTTTAATACAAAATGTTTGCATATGTACATTATTTAGACGATGGAGTTAAAGGCGTTGTTAATGTTAAAGACATTAAGCAATTTGACCCAAAAAATACTACGGATTTCTCGTCTCACACTTACTGGATCCTGCAGAAAGGACGCTTCATAAAAGGACAGATTCTGTTGATGAAAGGTAGGCCTAAATCTTTCAATTTACAGTACTATATCTATAAATATGCTTAATAAACAGCTTACAAAACTGAGGACGTTTTTGTGACATCTGTGAACCAGATAACTTAATGAAAAGCGCTAATAACATGTTAACGTTAACCTGTAGTTGTTACCTAGCTCATTGTATCTTAATAACCTAATGTATTTATTTTTTAAGATCCTAAACAATATGATTTGATATCAAATTAGTTAATTTAAATGCTTTTTCAATTTTATTTTCTGCCAGTATAATACCAGGTGACCATTCCAGTTAGATATTAAAGTAAAAGAAAAAAGGTCATTTTAATTTATGAATCAAACTAAATCTAGAGTAAAAATGGATGTTTTCATTAGTGTAATTCTAGACTGAAAATAAACAAGTACTTAGTAAGAAGAAAGCTATTCCCATTTTCCAGAAACTTGTGAGGAAATTGAAAATGTGCTGGCAACTGGGAAAAGGATTCGAGTGCCAAAGCTGCTTGATAAAAGTCCACCAGAGAACAAAACGTCAGAAAGGAAGGAAGCTAAGGATAATGCTGTAAGTAACATGAAAAGACTGCACGATGAACTCAATTAATTGAATAATTTAAATACCTCTTACTTGTGTTAGTTGTATTTTCAGGCAGCCCAGAAGGCAAGCATTGAGGAAGGAAAGCAGACATTTCTGATGGACATTTTAAAAAAGAGACAAGCCTTCAAAAGGAAGCAACCACTATTTCCTCCTCATTCTACACCTAAAAGAGGAAAAAATATTGTAGATGATGAGATAACAACAAGTGAGAGTGAGGATGAACTAATTCCAAAATCAAAATTTGATGAGCTTGAGAACCGATACAAATCTCTAACTCGGAAATATCAAGAAGCTATTGCTGAAGGGAAGGAACTGAGGAAATTAAATGCTGAGCTTCAAACATGTTTAGTAGCCAAAATTCTTTCTGGTAATTATTAATATTATAATTAGTAGCATTATCAATGTATTATTATTATTTTTTTTTACACATACATAATATTTGAGACTATGTTCCAGGAAGCAACACATCTCCAGCCTCCATCCCAGACCTTCCAGTGACAACTGGTAAGATTTTGTGCACCATAATAACAACAACAACAATAATAATAATAATAAAGATTACATTTACAAATAACCTGGTCAACTTATTTTAAAACTATTACATTTAAAAAATCTAAAAATTAAAATCTAATTTTATTGCCTTCTCTAATTCCAGTGCTCTTAAAAACTTGCACTGTTTGATATTTATAAGTTTGCAGATTTTTTTGTGTATATTGAATATTGTGATGCATTTTTTTTTGTTTAAAGATTACAGGGAATTACTCAATGAACTGAAAAAGGTCAAATTTATTTTCTGCAGTATGTTGAGAGATCATTTTTTGCATTTGTGGGTACATTATATCTTTCAGGTTGCAACACCACCGCAGCCACTACAGCTCTTCCAAAGACAACTGGTAGGATTGGCTTCTAAAAACATTCCCACCACACCAAGGCACTTACTGAATGCATTTGTGTCTGCTAAGGATGATTTTACACATATGTAATGTTTGAAAATTGCTTGTATTTTCCTAATTTGTCAAAGTTATTTTGGATAAAAGTCCGTGAAATACAGGTACAGGCCTCATTTACAAATAACCTGGTTAACTTATTTAAAAACTATTACATTTATAAAATCTAATTTTATTGCCTTCTCTAATTCCAGTGCTCTTAAAAACTTGCACTGTTTGTTATTCATAAGTTTGCAGATTTTTTGTGTATATTGAATATTGTGATGCATTTTTGTTTCATTTAATGCCTCAGAGAGCAGCCCCCCTTTAAAACACCCTCAAACAGCAATTGGTAAGTATTGGTGATCTTTGCAGATTTTTTTCCCTGTAATATCAATCATATTATTACCATTACTATAATTGTTGTTATGTATGTTATACTGTATGATAGGGCCAGTTTAGCCATATGGATGGATTACTACCTGTATCCATACATGGTTAATCTGGTCCCACTGTAATTGTTATGAAAACTTAACCTCCCTAAACTACACACTCCCTTCCCACAGAGATGAATTCTGCTGTTGATCAAAACTCTGAACAAACTTCAGATAACAATGAGGTACGATTTTAATTAAACAGAATATTTAGGAGAGGCTGGGGCTGCTTGTTACTTACTCCAGTGTTTATATTAGTTGGTTTAAGCTGGTTTACATTTTTGCATTAGGTACATAGTACCTCAAAGCCTACAAAAAAAAGCTACCGAGCATTTCCACCGTTATGTACCAGGAAAAAAAAGATTATATTTAATTGAACACACAAATGTGAGGCATTTTGTCACAATATGTGGTAAGCTGTCACAATGAAACCAGTTCAAACTTTTGGGTAAAATTTACCTTCACTGTATATTGATGTTTTTCGACTGAGTTAATACAAGTGTGGTTTAACTGTGTGCACTTACAACAGCAATACAAATATTACACTAAAGTTTTAAATAAAATATTGTAATATGAGCTTTGAACTAGTTGTTTGAAACAACATACAAACAAACATATTTGTAACGTGTGTAATTCAGACTTTGAGTCAAAAACGGAGTTTGTGATTGAGACAACTTTCCATTGTGATTGCCAACCTCAGTCTCTCTTATGCAAGATGGATATGGCCCTCTACTTAACAAAACAACAAAAAGTCAAGAGAGAAATGTTGATTACAAATTTATAAGAATGGAGACTACAGTAGTGTTATGTTTCTTGATAAATGTTTAATTTTAAAAATTTATTTCTTATAGGTAAATATCGGCGAAGGTGTAGTTATACACCGTGAAAAATGGATGAAGCTACAGCTCAATGTAAAGGACAGCTTGTTTGTGAAAGAGCTGGCAGTGTGCATTTGGGGAACAAGCACACTGGCCAACCGAAGCCTGGAAGGAAAAAGTTGCCCCACCACAAAATCAGATCCTAGGCCACCTCTGACACCTCACAAAGTCAGAACACTAAAAAGTAAGTGATGTCAACTTTAGAGAATTATGTTCAGGGCTCGACATATGAAGGGTTAACACTTTATAATAACTGCATGCTATTAGTAATTAGTAAAGCATTAGCAAACAATTAATTCATCATTTATAAAGCATTAATAAACATTAATACGTTGTTTATAAATACAGCTATAAATGCTTTATTATTGATTTATAAGCTTATCTATAATAACTTTCATCTAAAGTGAGGACTATTTATGCCTTATAAACAGGGCTTGACATTAACTTTTTTGCTCACTAGTCAATGTGGCTAGTGGTTTTCCAAAGTTACTAGCCACACAGCATTTTTACTAGCCACATTTTTGTTTTTGTGAAATTACCTTTTAAAAGTTGACTGTGGCATGCTAAAATTTACTTGAACTAAATTTACAACCCTTTTAAATGTAAAACCACTGTACACACCCAAATCAAGACTACACAATACAGGTCATTATCATTAGCTCTGATAAGGTTGTGTTTAAAGCTCCTTTTTTAAATAAAACCATGTATTATGTATTATATGTCGCCACATAGCTCCACCGGCATACACTGTGTGCATGTAATACTCGTTAGGGCTGTCAAAATTGCTCAGAAATGACGTTCGAATATTCCCTCTAAAAAAAACACATAGCCTATATTCGAACTACTCGAACATGGTTGCGCATTTTGTCAATGACACGCATTACGTCAATAACAGGGCAAATTAATACAAAGAGACATAACTACTTGTATAGGTAGTTTATTTAAGTTTAAACATATTTGACAACGTATTACCTACACAAAAACAAGTAAATCAACTAATGGCCAAGACCGCAGACCTCACTCTCGCTCACTTGCACTCGCAGGCACTCTTTCTCTCTCTCACCCTCACCCTCATGCTGCGTTCACACCAAACGCGAATAGAGCGTCTGGCGCGAGTGTAAAGACGCGTTTACGCGCGTCTGGAGGTCTTGCGGCCAGTGTTAATTTTGGCAGCAATTTTTGATTTAGTCTTAGTTTTCATCTTCAGACGAAAATGCTTATTGGTCTTAGTAACATTTTAGTCATTTTGTCTCTCATAGTTTTAGTCTAGTTTTAGTTGACGAAAAGTCATTGCATTTTTTGTCAACTTTGTCATTACTTTTAGTCAAATTGCAGTTACCGAATTTTGGCATATGTAGTCTTTAGACATAAAATGTCATAACAATTTTTCTCTCTAGGCCAGTTCTTTAAGCTTATGAGAAATTTGAATCAAGGTAACAGGCTGTATTGACATTGCACTCTAGCAGTAGCACTTGTGCAATCCTACATATCCATTTTCCTTAGTTCAGTGGTTCTTCAATTTTTTAGAGTGCCGTAACCCCTCTTCCATTAGACTGCTGTCACACCTTTTCCATTAAGGGACAATATTTGCCCTCTTCAATCGATTTTTCCAGTTTATTTTTTACCTTTATAAATACCTTTATAAAATAAATAATGATTTAAATAAAACAATGTTCAATAAATATGCAATGATGGTAAAAACAAAGTTATACTTTTAAATATTAAATTAAAATGGCCACTAGGTGGCGGTAAGTCTGTCTATAGTTTATGAGTGAGTCATCGAGCCATTCATTCATTCAGTAACGAAGCAAGTTGCTGTACTTATGAACGGATCATTGAATCTCACGATTCGTTCAAAGACACAGATTCGTTCACGAATCACCGCCGTTTGCTGCAGTTCTGCTGTGGCGTTTGTTGCAAAATAGAGCAATAATAGCCTACTGACAATACAGTTTTAAATGTAGTAGGCCTACATCGCTTAATGTTACCCTTTTGTTTGTTGAACTGTTGTATAAAATCAATGTCACATTTGAAATCGTGTGGATATTCGGGAAACATTGCATTCTTGCTCGTATAGGGCTAATATGATCAACATTAAAAACACTGCTGGATATCAGCCTGAATTTTGACCGCAGATTTAGTCTCACAAACAGCGCAAGCGGCTAGTGACAGAAAAAAGACAGACTGAATGAAACTTTAATTTAAGTAGAAAATCTCAAATGAAGATCGCTGAACGCGCGCATGGTTGCCAGATACTATTGAAAAGACACGTGTTATTTAAACAGAAAATTTTAACTGGGGATTAAATTATTGAAATATGGCAACCGTAAGCATGAACGCTCGCAAACACAGTCTGTAATGTGTTGTCTTCTCCTTTATTCGACAAAAACAAGTGGTTTTGGTAAAGTCTTGTTTTTGTTTTAACCGATCAGTCTCGTCTTTTTTCGTCAACGATATTGCATGTGTTGATAGTCACAGTTATCGTTTAATGACGTGGGTGTCGTCTCTCATCGTCTTGTCTTAGTCAGGGGAAAAAAGGTCGTCAACGAACATTTTTCGTCATAGTTTTCGTTAACGAAATTAACACTGCTTGCGGCGCGAATGAGGCGTCACGCTCTCTGTCCATAACGGTTTAATGAACAACAACAATAAGCAAATGTTGAGTGCTGATCAAGAGTTTTGTGCAGGCAATTTAAGGTCGCGACTCTTATATAGCAGGCTTCATTCAGTGATTGAAACAAATATTATTAACAATAATTGAAGTTTTACATTAGCCTATATAGAACCGACATTGAACGCTCCGAGCGAGCTGTGCTGTGGTAAACATGGAACTTTTCCTTGACCTGAAACGGTAAATAATCAAACCATTGGAAGCCTGTAGTGCATGAAACTGCTGTATCTAACCTACCTTATTCATGCAATATCTATTCAGTCAATACAGGAGCCTACACTTTAGTAATGTTTCTGTTTAACGTTAACGCTTCTTCCTGTTACCTTTCCCTGACCCCTCAGGCAGCGCGCCCACTCGCAAAGCAGACAGCCGCGCCTCTGCTACCGCGGGCGTTTTTCCACATTCGAATATTCATTTTCACCTTCGAAATTCTTCGAATATATATTCGAATTTAGAATATTCGTTGACAGCCCTATGGGAGTTGTAGTGTCGTAGGGTCACACTTATTTCAGATGCCTTTTGAAAAGACTACAATTATTCAACCCGCCAAAGTGGCTAGTTGGAGTGACTATGTTACCCACCACGAGCAAAATCCACCCGCATTTTGGCGGGTGTTAATGTCAAGCCCTGCTTATAAAGCATTTAAAGGAACATGCCAACGTTTTTTGAAATAGGGGTTATTCACCGTCTCCCCTAGATTTATTAAGGTGGGCAAAAGCATTTTTGTCTCAGTGCATGCATTAACTTAGTCTGGCAGTGCTGCCGCTAGCGTAGCTTAGCATAGTGAATGGAATCCTATGTTGCCAGATAGCATGTCGAGAATAAAAGTGAACCCCAAAAAAAAAACTAACCTAATTACTTCTTGTGGCCTGCGTATTCACACGAGTACAAATAGCAATGCAGATTAAGACTAGGTGATTTCCTAGGCAGATATTGACATGGGACTATATTGGGGGGAAGCACAGGCGAAGCACTGCTACTTGGGCACAGTGATATCTGTTAGCTTCGCCTGTGCTAACAATCAACGGTAATAATGCTCATACTGTCAAATTTAGCCTTATTCAAGAACAGCATCTATAGATATTTGTGGTAGTCAAGGCTTAAAGGATTTCTCTTGTATATGTATTTTTTTTCCTAGGTTGCTTTCAAAAGTGGCTGGAGGGCAAAAATTTGGAGGAAGCAGAGCTGAAGGCCAGAACAGTGAAGCTTGGGCACTACTTGACAGAAAAAATTCAAGACATCAACAAAAAAGTCAAAAAAGCCAAATAAGTAAATTGCTTGCTTCAATTCATAAACTACATTTATTTTTCTCTTAAGTAGTTACAATGAAATGTTGTATTGATTTAAGCTTACAAATAATTAATAATTTCATACAAATTCATACAAAAAAAACCCCACATCTTTGTATTGTTTAATTTAATAAAGATGTTAGAATGAAATTCACATAAATAAATGTAATTCTCCTCTTGAATGTGTATATTTGTGTCTGTGTGCTCCATTCTTAAAGCATAGGTTTGGTTTTATCATAAGCCTAGGGTAGGTGTTGTAACTAGCAGCTAAATTAAATCAGTGACCAGCAACATAAAACAGCTTCAAACCCAAAACTGGTTACAATTCTCAGCAAAGAAAATACCCCAAAAATACGCTACCAGCATAAGCTGGTATTGGGTGGTCTAACCAGCTACCAGCATAAACTGGTATTAGGTGGTCTAACCAGCATAAGCTGGTATTGGGTGGTCTAACCAGCATAAGCTGGTATTGGGTGGTCTAACCAGCTACCATGTTCCAAAACACAGCTTGAACTGGTCAAGCTGGTTGACCAGCTTGAACTGGTCTAGCTGGTTTTTCCACCAGGGTTCTAATGCTTCTTCTAACAAGTATTAGCAAATGCCTAGAATAAGTACTTTAACTGGCTTTGGCCACGCCCAACTATTTAGCCAGCGAAACTCCAGTCAGGACACAAACAAACACACGCGCGTTTTTACCAGGGTAAACACAGAAACGACGAGCCGCGCTAAAATCAAATGAGAAAGTAAACACTCACAGACTGATGTTCTCTCCTGTTGTTCTAATGCTTCTTCTAACAAGTATTAGCAAATGCCTAGAATGCTCAGTCTAGAATGCTTCAATTTCAAAAATAATTTCACATTTCTACTATATAAATGACCACTATTAAATACACATTTATCTTCCCAGAGCTGAAGTATCCCTTTAACATGAAGTAGGCTATATAGGGCTTCCAGAACTCTCTCCCACATGTCGAACAAGGGTGATCCGTGTCAGCAGCGCCGCATCAGACACGTTTCTGGTGTGCAAAGACACAGAAAACGCGACGCAGCCGCCACGCAGCTGACACGCAACAGGAAAGCAACGCTCACGCCACGCAGCCAGTGTGTCACCGGCCTAATACACCAATGCACCATAGGTTATGTGTGGTATCACTGTTTGGATGGTGTTAGTCACATGTTTGAAAGACAAACAGCTACTCAGTGCTGCACGGAGTGACAAGAAGTAGGCTACACTTATTAAAAAAAGTAGGCCTAACATAGTCCAATACTGCACAGTACTACTTCTGGTCTACTGATGTTTTTGATGTTCAAGATCATTTGCTAAAGTCTCCTGCACTATATATTTTTTTCCAATCAAATTTAGGATTTGTTTGAGTATCAACGCATTTGCTTAATTTATAGTGAATAAGTTACGTTTTTTTTGTGTGTATCCTCTCCATCATTATGAAGCATTAAATTATCATTACTTTTATGTCATGAAGCATTAAATTATCATGACTTTTATGTCATTTACTTGTGTTTTGCTTTTGTAGTTCTTTGTAGTTTTCCCTTGTTAAGCTTGTCTTTACTGTGTTTATATAGTGTTTCACTTGTGTTGTCAGTCGTTCTATGTGATTGTATGAGTTCCCTGTGTTTTCCCTTTATTATTGTTATTATTATTGTGTTATATGAGTTTAATCTATGATAAACTGAGTGTTTGGTGCTGAAAGAGATGAAGTGAAGACAATGTCAAGACAGGCTGAAAGAGTTGGAATCACTGGTATATTCAATAACTGATGTACAAAATCAGATACTGTGTCCACTTTAAACAACCATCTGACTGAATATATTCAGAAACAAAACAGTAAAAACATAATTATTCGCTGGCTTAGTTCAATTCAATTATTTCACCATAATTATTCAGACGTCTCTCCATCTGGATCGGAGGTCTTTAACTCCTGCTACTCGAGAGCAACCATCCAGAGTTAAGCTCAAACCCGAATCAAACACACTTGAAGCAGCAAATCAAGGTGTTAAAGGTATAACAGGAACAGTAAGTGTGTTGGATCAGGTTGAACTGGAGTCTGCAGGAAGATGCCCTACAGGAGCAGGGTTCGCCCCCGTTGATCTAGAGATATCTAGCTCCATCTAGTGGTTGGAAGAAAGTGAAAGTCACATGATGCGCAGCCAAGTATGATGTCCCATGCTCTCCATTTCACACATTCAAGTGCAAACACACACCATGAACACACACCCGGAGCAATGGGCAGCCATTTTTGCTGCGGCGCCCGGGGAGCGATATTTTTTTTCACAGGATGGTAGGGGAAGACTCATGAATATTCATTAGGGAACTCATCCCTGATTGGTCTTAACCCCAGTGACTGGTAGGTTTAGGGGCGGGGTTAAGGGTAGGTCATCAGACCCCAGTGACGGGTAGGTTTAGGGGCGGGGTTAGGGGGTAGGTCATCAGACCAATCAGGCATGAGTTCCCTAATGAATATTCATGAGTCTTCCCCTACCATCCTGTGAAAAAAAATATCGCGCCCGGCGAGCAATAGCGGGTTCGGTCCCTTGTTCAAGGGCATCTCAGTTTTGAGTAATAGAGTGTAAGAGAGCGCTGTTCATTAGGTTACAAGTCCGACTCTCTAACCATTAGGCCACAACTGCAACAGAAGATTTTTAATAAGAAAAAATTATCTGTCACTGACTGGTAGCCTAAAAGATTTAATATATATTATGACGCCTAATATAAAGTAATATGTTCTTATATTTTATATACTTTCTTCTGTAGTTTGCAAATCATCTTATTTATTAAAAACAGACGGATTATGGATATTGTAGAAAGGACTCCAAAAGAGAACTTGCCTCCAGATACTGAAGTTACAGCATCCACCAACAGGGGTGAATTATATATTCAAAAAGATTTTGCAGTTTTAATGCCTTTGACACTGTTGTTTTTCCATGTTCAGTCAGTTTGTAAAATTCTGACATGTATATTGGTCATACACTCCTGATAAAAATGCATTTAATACACCATGAAGATGTGTGATATTCGACCTTTAGTCTAAATCATATCACACAGTGAGATTCAGGATCACATTAAACACAGTAATACTGCAGTTATCAGTCATTTTGATTCATCGGTATTCATTTGTCTCCAGTTAACATGGATTCAGAATTTGAATGCCATGAACACACGTTCACATGTAAAAAATAAAAAAATACAGGACTGCATATATTTTGAAACTTTTAAGCTCTTAACATTTTCGTGAAGAACTGCTTATCAGCATTTTGTATCTTAACAGAAGTGTGTTAAACCACAGTGTGTTTAGAGGTTAAAGTGTCTCTGCACTAACAGTTCTTTCGTCTGATCTCAATTGATCACTTGGACAAAATACATCTTTAGTTGATGTAAAGCGTTCAGATTGTTGTATTAAGCTAAATGCGGTATTAATCTGCTTGCTGAGACACGACATATAAGCACCTGCAATCGGTAGAAGTGAAATGAATGCAGTCACGGTTATGTGCTTTGCACCCTTTAATGTCTGTCTGTTTAGGCTACATTAAAACATCACCACACATGGAGAGATTTAAGTGTGAAACAAACAGCATGAAAATTTGAAAACAGGACAAACACCATTAACAATAACATAGCCTAAACATTCTTACCTATACTATTAAAAAGTACACAAATCGGCTTAGCCTAAGTAAACTAATCAATAATGGTGGTATAAAACAAATGTTTGAAGAATAAGATCACTGTGTATGATAAATGAGAACGTAAATACCAATAGATTATTTTATATTCTAATAAAGTCATTATTAATAGTCAGTTGGTTTAAAAAGCACTCTTCTTTGTAAAGCTGCTATAGGCTGAATTGTATTTGAAATGTGCTATCCACGTTTTATTTTTAACGTAAGAGTGGGTGCAATTTCTTCCGCTGAGTTATTTTAGCTGTAGAAAAACACAGTCCGTTATGCTGGTAGGCTATTCATACCATATTATTTTGTTATTGTAACCATAAACACACTGGTTTGCAGCGCAAATAGGTTTACCATTTACTGCACATTTTTATTCAGTTTTTAAACTTTTTACCTATAGAAACCTCAAAACCTCGTTTACCTCAAAGCTTGAATGAGTTTGCTTTTGAAAAAAAAAGAAAGAATCTTTGAAATGATATTTACTCAAAGGAGTTCTCGTTATATATTGCCACCAGAGATTCAAGGAAATTTTCATTTGGTTGATCAGTGTTCGTTGCTGCATTCTGCACAGTCTTCTTCCGTGGAAGATTTCTGGTTCTGAATTCATAAATCAGAACAACCATCACAGCCACGCCCACCAGAGATGAGAGAGCCAATCGGATCACAGCTTCAGTGAAACTACAACAGCGACTTTCTTAAGAGAGAAGAAATGAGCAACGTTAGAAAACAGATATAATTCATGTTTGGGAAACAGTGTCTCTAGAATTCGGTAAGAGTGAATATTTGATACCAAATCAGTCATTTAAAAGCCACATTTTTAGCATCTGTAAACCCAGAGGTGTAAAGTTCAGGGATCAGAAAGTAAAAGTTCTGCTATATGTTTATTCCACCCATGAACTCAGTCAGCTGATTTCACTAATTAGTTCTATCTCCTGGCTGAAAAACTGTGCCAATTAGCAAATCCAGGTGATTGTAACAAAATACTGAGGAGGACTTTTACTTTCTGAACCTGGACTTTACACCTCTGTGTAAAACCATAATTTTTCATCCTAAAAATATATTTCAGTTTCGATAATATGCTCTCAATGGCAAGTTCAGAAAAGTTTGTTCATGCGTTCTTGACTTCAAGTCTAGATTAGTGTAATGCTCTAATGGGTGGTTGCCCCGCATGCTTAATAAACAAACTCCAGCTGGTCCAAAACACAGCAGCTAGAACTCTTACTAGAACCAGGAAGGATGACCATATTAGCCCGGTTCTGTTAACACTGGCATACACGTAACACATTATCAGATTTCTGTAATGCCCATTTGTAAAAAGATTGTTAGGCTGCAGATCAACCGGAACCGTGAACACTTCCCATATCACACAATGTA